CGGTGCAAGATGCTGAGGCTTTGAAAATCGAAGTCTTCCTATAGGACGCACAATCAGAATGGCGCACGGTACTGCATTTTTTTTTCTTTAGCGCGAACTGTGCACGAATCGCGGACGCGCGTCTCGGATCGCTCATCTCGCTTCGCCGTTTGTTGCAACTGTACTCGACGCAGACATCTACATTACTTGCATCGCATCGTTACGTGCCATCCTCTCATTTCTTCCTTCAGGTTCCACCTGGACGATGCGATGCTTCTTTCGCGGCAGCGAATTGTACGCGTCACCATACTCACCATTTATAGACGCGAGTCAATTGTGTACATGTGCTCGCTCGCGAGCGCAACAAGGTGGTCAAGCGGCCTCCTTGCATTTCTTTGCAGGTCGCGGCACAAGTCGTCCATCGGCCGACGCGAGGCGCCAGCAGAGAAATTACTTTTTCCATTTTTCTTTCGCTGCGAACGAGCGACATCACGTTTGCGCCGATTTCATTTTAATGTGACAGAATGTGTTCGCAGAATAGAACCAAATTCAATAATTGCATTCCTTTTCATTATTTTTTAAATAAAAATTTTATTACTATCAGATTTAAATTCAAATTGACTAAAAATTTACCAATATTGGCAACTGTAATAAGACCGATAAATGGATTTTAATTAAAGTCAAAATTGGTATGCTGAAAAAATATATAATGATTTGGAAATGATTACGTTGACATTTCGTGAACGGAGGAGTTCGGTGCCTACGCATCCGTTCGACACATCGATGCATCGTTGACATATATCCTGAGTCATTCTGCTTCCCGGGCGTGATATGATCGAAGACACGCGCCGCATTAAAAAGATTACGCCGGCGAAATACAACACGCATGTTAATGTACGTGCAGCGAAGTGCACACGTGATGCAACGCAGCTGCTTTTCCACGCCCACCGATCCTTCCGTTTCTTTTCTTTTTTGGGACAACTGACTCGTCGACGTTCGTACCGAGAAAGCATGCCATTCAATTAAATAGATTCTACAACATTTCCGAATGCAGCGTAAATAGGTTGGGCTCAATCTTTAAGTAATTTCGCAAACGTGAAGCGCCCGGATCTCTTTTCTTTCAATCAATGATATTTTAAAGCGGGCAAGCGTACGTTTATAGTAATCCTCCAATTGCTATCTCGCGAGTTTTCCAATCATCTTACCCGTTACACAATCTTAAGAACGCGTTGGAAAAATTAATGAGGCACGTGCAACGCAGAATCCAGTTCAGTGAAGCATAAGCGACGCATAAAGCGACGAAATAGAGCAGTCGCGTGGTATTCTTGCGAGTTGTACATACATACGTGCACCCGCTGTTGCTGCTGCATGCTGCTGCTGCTGCTCCAGGTTCAGTGACATCACGCACGCATATGCGTGACGCGCCGTGCGCACCGTTATGCCCATAGCCTGCCCCATAGCGCCCACTGCGGAAGTATCGCCATATTACTCAGCGGTACGACATATACGCGACGATCGGCGCCCATGCTGATGCACCAAGCCTATGTATCTGCGATTACGCTCGCCGTTAACCCGCGAGTATTCGCGATCGTCCAGCGCAGCGACTAGATCGAAAACTGTTTCCCTCCTTTATATACATATATATATATATGTATATACATATGTACATATATATATTATATATATATATATATATATATAAATGGTCGGGAATATATAAACCTAGCGCAACGATCTGAGAACCGATTATCGTATAACGTACTACAGGGGATACACGTATTCTTATTATGCAAGATATAATACTGTAACTTTATATATTTATTACGATGCATCTTTTTGTTTTTGAAATAGAGATAATTTTTTAAACAATCTGTAGGGATGTAAATAGCGTCTAGAACTTTTGATGCATCGTGTAATAACGAAGCTGGTAGGAAGCTGAGAATCTTGAAAGCAGTAAAGCGACGATGAAGTCGGCGACCGGTCGCTCAGTGCCAAGGACACGGACGGTAGACAATGCAGTCTTGGTTGCCGCGAGGAAGCAACCTCTAATTATGCTCCTGCTTGTTACATTTTTATCTGCGCCTCTCTCTCTCTCCCCTGCATCCCTGCATGCATCGTTGCACGTTACTATTCTATTATAGCGAGAAGAAAGAATCACGGACCGCCTCAATACAATGCAAACACCGATGATCCCATTTACATAATTGCTAAAACGTACTCATTAAGCGTACGCGAAGACGGAAAGTCATGTAATTCAAGGGCGATAATTAGGCAAAGCGAAGCAGCACGCTTACAGATTTATGGATGCGACGCAATTAATATTCCTTCAACGTGGTAAAATACAATTTATCGTTCGAGCCAATCGTTTTTTTTTCTTTCATGAAGGTTGTCGATATAAACACGCCAGTGATCACCCGTATATATTCCGAAGGAATTATTTATTTCGACATTCTGTGAAATTTATTAGTGAAAATAAACTATTGCGTTTATTTCCAAATTCGGTTTACATCCAAAAAATTAATCTCGTTTGATACGATGCTTAAAGTAAAAAAAAAAAAAAACGATACGCACGATAGCTTTATATACTGCGACCCATTAAAAATAGATACTAGGATCATGGTCATTCATTGCATATATAAATGTGCGATAGCTGCAGGTCGCTACCCGATTTCAAGGAAACGCCGTCTGACCTCCGTCGTCGCGGCCATTACGTTCGAAGTCTGTCCGAGTTCGTAGCCGAGTAAGAGAGCGTGAAGAAATATTTTGGCGAACTACGCGTAAATCTATTTCACGGAGAAACGGAGTTTTATTATAGTTAATAAGCGTCGATTAATTGAAGAACTCTCCCTTCCGAATATATATCAGCGATTTGTGAGAAATATAACAGAACAAAGAAGTTGTATAGATATCCAATGCTACTTAGAGATTGCGTATTTTAATTTTTGTTTCACATAACTTTACGAGTGCCATGACATAATAGTAAATGTGTACAAACTGTACTGTAATTATTATGAATTATATAACATACACGCACACATACGTTAACTATAATTAAACTGGAATATTAACTGTTAATTATTATGAATTATTTCTAATTAATAAAAGTAAAGTTGGCACGCGCCTATGAAACGCGTTCGCGTAATTCAACGTTTTTAAATATTCGTATTCGATAACCGCTTAGATTTCGTGGATCAGGTAAAAGTATATTTAAAAAATTAGGCAATTTTGAATCCTGCAAACATATTAAAAAAAAAAAAAAAAAAAAAAATTAAGTAACTATATCGATTCGATCATAGTACAAGAAAATCGATGGAGGGGAATATCATATAATTCTTTTCCCTACGCCAGGGCATCCCTTTGGGACTTGACTGTTGACCTTACTGAGACACTTCGTAAAACATGGCCTCATAAATATCAATGTTTGTTTTTATTTTATGAACTTTTATTGCTTTATAAATATTAACTTTCTCCAGTATGTGTGCAAACAGATAAGAATTTTCAAGTATGCAAGCTAACATGTTTCATCATTGATACAATAATTTATCTTTTATGATAATTTTCTAACAGTGCCATTATTAGTATTAACTTTACTCTTCTTTCTCGATATCTTATTCTGGCACATTATTGGGTAATCAAAATACGAGGTACCAGTGAAAAGATGATTCGTAATCAATCTTATTTGGATTAACAGTAATTTAATAATAATTGGCTAATAATAATTTGATTTCAGGCTTAATGATGAAAATATTAATGTTCGATACAAAAGGATTGTTCATTTACAAATTCAATAAGAAAAATACATCTGCTGTTTATTTCAATATTTACACAAAATTCTTCCACTCTTTTTGCATATTTCAAGAGATTTGATAACTAGTTTAATATCGGGTTCGGTCTTATCAGCAGTAATTCGACGCAACGTAAGAAAACTGATAAACAGTCACAAGAATGCGATCGGGATACTAAATGTTAATTTATAATGTAGAATACCGACACTAACTTGATCTCTTGTATCAGCCGATTCAGCGGATACGTCGAGCCGTCATCATATTTTTTTCGCGCAAACATGCACGTGACTGTGTGTTTCGTTCATGGATATAAAGTATCTTGATAATAAATTTTTTAATGAAATTTTACGCTTCGCAATTAATGTTATCGAAAATCATTACGAATAATCCTTTACGTTGGTAAGGCAATGACAAAGGTCGTGGGCGTAAATCTTCGCGCGGGAATCAATATTTTCTGCGAGAATAAGACACATTACGAAGAAACAAAGCGACATATGCCACAAAAAAAGAGATACTTATATAGCATACTGACAGAGAAGAAAGAGAGGAAAGAAGGAAAGAGCGGAGGGAAAGAACGCGATATATAGAGAGGAAAGAGCGAGCGAGAGACGAGAAACAGAGAGAAGTAGAAAGAGACATAAGAAGAAAGACAAGAAGACAGCGAGAGGAAGAGAAAAAGAATGAGAGAGAGGGGGGAAAGAGAAAGAGAAGCAATGCGACAATCACTACATTCGCGGTTAGCTTGAGCGAGAGGGCGCATGGCCTTGGCCGTTGCTGCGGGGTAATTCAGTCAAGGTTTCGGCCGATGAACTTCCTCCAACGGGAGGAAGGAGACTCCGGCCGGCCGTGGTAGGGACAAGTCGGACCAATCGCGCGGCTGCGGGGCCTACCGAGCTGACGGCCGATTGGTCGGGCCCGTCGCGGCCGCGACAGCACGGCATACTGTGACGGGCCCGCAGCGACTTGTCAGTGACCTCCAGCATTGAAAATACGATGAACTCTCTCGGGGGGCCCTGTAAGAGAGCTTACGGAGCAATGTGTTGAGTGTCCTCTACTACATACTAGGTAGCCAGGGCGTAGACATTGTAGATGGTCGAGGCAGCCTGATAGCCTGGCAGCCGAGCAGGCACATCAATCCCTCCCCTCCACCTCCAAGTAACTCAGAGTAAGGGCTGCACGGCCCCCAGGTAACCAACACTCGGCAGCGCCGAACAAGAGTCAGACCAACGCGAACCTCCCTCGAGCGAAGACTTACTTTCACTCTCTCTTCAGGCTACTATCCGCTCGCGCTCAGCTCTGCTACCAATCCGTCGCGTCGTTTGTCGCGAGCTTCACTGCAACGTCTGTCCGTAACCTTTGCAACAGTCGCAGATCGCGCCGATCGTTCGCGTGCTTCGATATTCGGAAAGTTGAACGTTGCAGTTGCACGTGGACTTGCGCGCGCGCGCGCGCGTATACGCACGTGCGAATCAAATTTATTGGTGATTGGTCAGTGAGCGTGGTGACAGTGAGAGCGGGATGAGAACAAGTGGAACAGTATCGTAAACCTCCGGGACAATATGTGGACTCTTATTAATCGTTTTCTCAGTGTAGTGTGGTGAATAAACGGATGTTAAATCAGTCGGAGAGGAGAGCGTTAACGACGGAGACTCTCCTGAACAAATCATGATCCTTATTCCGGACAGTAGCGCGCAGGACACGCTGGCTACGTCACCCACAACCGAATTGCTGATCCCCAGCGTATCCTCGCACGATTCCCGCGCGTCCAACGTGTCGCGCGTACCCAGTCAGGGCATGTCTAGTCCGTATCATGTAATGCAGTTAGCGGATCATCATCGTCTTAGTCCCAGTATGCCAACGATGGATTCGACCGTCTCATCCGCTAAACCCGAGCCTGAGCTCAACATAGGTACGCGTTTTTTTTCCTTCATAACAGCGAAGCGACGATGCAAATAGCAAAAATTTGCGACTGGCGCGCAATCGTAAAACGGGATGGGATCGCGATGCCGCGACAGTGGGTGAAAGCAGAAAGTTGTAATGCGGCGCGATGCTGTAACCCGCTACACGCGCGAGAGAGGAGAAAGTGTTCTTCTTTCCCTCCCACCTTTCTCTCGCGCAGCGCGAGAGAAGAAGAAGCCGCGGGAGAGGATATCGTTACGACCTGCATTAACGGAACGCGTTTTTCTCGTTTGTTTCAGAATTCGACGGGACCACTGTGTTGTGTCGGGTCTGTGGTGACAAGGCTTCCGGTTTTCATTATGGAGTTCATTCCTGCGAGGGATGTAAGGTGAGTACCGCAGCAGATCATTTATTTGTTACACAACGATCCGATTCCTTTGGCTATCGTCTCTTCGAACTCTTACATTACAATTGTTCGAACTTTTCCGTCGGAGACGCTGACGGAATCTAATCTCGCATGAGCGATCGGAAATGCCGTGTATTTTCGCGCCAAGCGATTTCGATATGTAAATTCGTCCCAGTTTTGTCAAGAGAACCGATCTTGCTTTAGCGTAAACATCGACTGATTCATAATCAGAGAAATAAAAGTTAGGAATGATTTTATAAATTTAATACACTTACAAAACAAAATGCATCATATTAAAAAATGAAAACATTATAAGAAAAGGAATATGATCATATTTGCGTTAAAATTCACTTTAAATTGCTTAAAGAATCCATAGATTCAAGACGCAGCTATAGATATGTTATAACTTCTTCTATCTACGAATATCGAAATCGCGGATGCGCGATGCTGTGCGGCGCGACCAGAGTGAATGTGAGTGAATGTAAATGCGTGATGTGAGACCACCAAGGCTAAATAGGAGCTATCCAAACGGCCAAACGCGGATTAACCTTGGTCACGCGGAAATCATAAGAGATTTGAGGTGGTCCTTGAAGTTATTTCACGACCCGGCAATTCCTCTGCATCGGCAGAGGATCTCGTGAAGGCCTCCTTCGATTTATTCTGTATTGCCATGGTCATCGTGATCATTATGCACGTACTTTTTAACTACAAAGCGATCAATACATCATAGTTAAAAGCATCGATCATCAATCATTTTCTTATAGATTTTAGTCAATGTCAGTCCTGTTTCTGCGCCATTTTTGTTACAAGATGATCTGTTATGTTCTGGGAGGGATATGACTAGGCGTAAAAATGCGACATATTTTTTTTACCACCCGCAATATTTCCGTTTCAATGAAATTCAGAAAAAGGTCCGAAGCAGGTAGACATGTCGGATTCTTTTTTCAAAGTCCTTTTTTCAAAGCCTATGGTTCAAATGGTTCCTGTGTCAGGCTAATGTTTCATCCAAAATTGTCGAGTAAGACATTTTATGAAGATCAGAGAATTCTGAAAATGTTATTCAGGCTAGAGTTACTCTGCATTTTAATTGTCTCCTCAACGTCTGTACGTGTTGAGAAACACATAATTTTTCTTCGTCACAAAAAACTTTCCGAGCTATCAAAATTACAACCAGATCGGCATCTTTTGTTTCGTTTGTATGCATCGACTCGGCCGGAAGCGGATAGTAGGGTCAGCATCGGCTATCGACGCGTTTTAGGAAGTGAAGGAACGGCGCCACTACCCACCGCCGACTTTACCACCTCCATAACCACGCGATGTGGTGGAGGTAGTCTGGTCATGCTACCAGGTACCTTGGATCGTTCGCGCTCGCAGATCAACTTAGACCGCTCGCGCGATAACTTCGTGCCATCGTCTTTCTCCTCATCTCGTGTTTCACGCTATTTATTTTGATTTTTTTTTTTTACGAAATATATATGTATTTATGATCTCAAGATATTTCCTAATCGAATCGTCACATGGATTATGTGATATGCCTTTTACAATACTTGTTGATAAGTGATAGATGTTTACACAGCACAGAATTATGATAAATTATTAAAAGAGATTAAAATCTTTCAACGTTTGTAAATCTTTCTAATCTTTATTTATATTTGTATCTATTCTCGTTTTGCAAAAACGATTATATGAATGGACAAATGCACGGAACATAAATTTTGAAATTAGACTGAATAAATAGCTGGGCACTAAATGCATCTCTTTCAAAGTGTTCACAATACATGAGTAATAATTGTTTTGGCGGCTTTTCTCACCGATATAATCGAGCGGAGGTAATGGAGCTTTCAATAGACATCCTGCTGCGGAGAAACCAGAGAAGAGCCCCAAAAGAGAGGAGATAAAAGAGAGAGTTGGGCCTACCGAAAAACCAAAATGATGATTACAACCGCGGGGAAGCGAAAGTATCGAAAAGATCTTTCGATCAATAGCGCAGCGGCAGGTACTTCTGCTTTCATTGCTCCTATTGTAGGCACGGAAAAAAGGAACTACATCGACCGCATTTTGTATGAAAACACCTGACTAAGGACTTTTTCCGTCTCCTTCGTCGATCATCCTCCTGCTTCTGCTCGCCGTTCCGACGGCTGAAATTCACTGAGGAGACTAATCGCTCGGACAGAGTCATGGCCCCCGACTGGTTGACTAGGTCAGTAACTTATAGCCGCAGCGCCGTAAGAGGCACTAAGCCGAACGAGTCTCCACCGAGTGACCTAGCCGCTAGCGGTAGAGCGTCTTAAGGTACTGGAAGAGGGGCTTGTGGAAAGGGAAGAGAACGCGGAAGAGTGTTGGATATCTTTAAGACTAGGTCGCTCGGTCACACTACTACACAGTTGCACTATTTCGCTCTACTGTCTCATCAGTAGAACGCTACTTTTCTCCTCGCGTCATAGACTGCAGTATTGAAATATTAATTTCGCCAGAAGAAAAAAAATGCTGACGTAACATGTAAAACGTCATATGATTGTCAAGAAAGCGAATACGATATTTTTGCATACTTGAATACTTTGTGTTATTCAATAAATTCGGAAATATTTCAAAAATAGAAAAAATTCCGTTAAAAAAATCGAAGTTTTGAATTGTTAAGATTCAACAATCGGGAATATCGAAACCTTTTCCAATATGAGATAAATCACATCAAAAGATATGATAACAATATATCGAGTATCTCGTTCTTCTCAAATTTACTGAGGAATATAAAAATAAATTCATTAAAGGATCACGCAGGAGAATAAAATAGATGCAGTATTTTAAATATTTTAGATCAATTTGAGTTATATCGATTGCAATTCGAGAATAGTCGAATGGCGCTATTATCGCTCTACTCCTGCCATTATAACGGTACATAGCAAATTAGATTTGAAATAAATATAATTTTCACACAGTATTCTTCGTTAGTATTGCGTGCTTCGATTGATTTATAAAATACAGTTTGATTTCGTTAAACATCTTTCATCCTGTTAACATTAAACTCGAATTTTTAATTAGAAAATTTTTTATCTCGAAGTCAGAAAATATAAAATTAAAGTTTGACATACATATAAACCTCCATCAAAATCAATCGCCGCAAAGGAACTCTTACGTGGCTAATCTTCTCGAAGGCATTAGAAATTATTTCGGAATGAGACTTTTTAGTTAGTGGAGCTCCTCTTTAAATTTCCGCAATACAAAACAATCGGTGGAGGTGCACGTCGGCGTCGGCGCTTTTTCCGGAGGGTTGAAATCAGGCGACCAGTGCATTAACCCTCCGGTCGTCGACCCTCCGAGCCAGTTACGTCACTCTCCCTCTTCCTCCACCTCCTCCTCCGCCTCCTCCTTCTCCTCCCTCATCCCGCTGCCCTCGCCGCACACCCCCTTCCCACAGGGAAGCCTTCCCCCACTCTCCCCTCCTCTCTCTCGGGTAACCGTCATTTTTGACGTCGTAACGAGTCGCGATCTCATTTTCATTTGATTGCGCGAGTATTTCGGTGCTCGCTTGAGGTTACCGACCCCGGTGCATCTACTTTAGAATCGGGTCAGCCGCTTATTATCGTGGTAGGTGTTCGCTCGACGTGGTATTTGTCCACCGAAGCGGGAGCTCTTCGAGATAACGCTTCTCCACGGGGTAAAATCGGACCGCCGTAATTTTTACACCCGATAAATTCGTCTCGCGAAACACGATATCATCAGCGAAAAGTATAATAGATCACTTCTGCCATTCAAAGATCGTGCGTCATTCCGCTTGATGCAATTAGCGACACCCAATGACTTTTGGAAAAATTCAGAATTCAAAAGGGTGAATTCCGTTTCACAAATTGACAGTAATTTGTTGATAATGGAAGGATCAAAAAGACATTTCCAGAAAAAAAATTAAATTAATTCTTAACTATTTATGAATCTTTTGTAGATCATTTTTCAGAGATGTAAATATCGATAAGTCTTTTGATTAGCTCGATCCATGAATATCAATAAATGCCCGCGGCATAATTTGGTAAGAATCTCATTTATGCAAAAGCAATCAGGATCGGTACCTGGATGTTATAACTAAATCATATCTCCGCTATATCGTTCGGCAGTACCAGCACAGTACAAAACTACGCGCACAGGAGCAGCCATCTCTGACCTCTGCGATCGACTTTACCGATATCGATGCCCGGGCAACAGAACGGAACGGCAAATTCTTGGGGTCGTAGGAGAGTGCTAGAACGAGCTAGCGAACGAGCGAGCGGTTAATGCCCCCAAGCAGAGCGGAGAGTGTCGCGACTGTTGGAGCGGCGCGCGCACGCGCACGCGCGCGCGTTACGTACGTCACCGTTACTCCGTTTCGCGTCCTCCTCTCTCCCTCTTTGGCATCAAACCTCCTACTTTTACTATGGTACCTCACGCCCCCACTCTCCTCGCGTGGTAGCAGATACGCTCACCTTCCCCTACCGTCCCTCAGACAGATCGCCATCCCTCTTCTCCCTTCCCTCCTCCCCCTGTTCGTTGCAGCAGTCGTGCGCTCCGGTCGTTGGCCCCGCGACCACATCGTGTGTATATCCCACACTCTCTTCACCTATATATGTGCACATATATGCAGGCGTATAACGCGTATACAACCCCGTACCACCGTCACCGACCGACGTGGCGGACGTCTCTTCTGCCAGCTACTAGTGTCGTCGCTGCACTTCCACGGAAAATAAAATTGGAACTTCAACGGCCGCCGCGCCGGCCGGACAACGACGATGCCACTAAATCGCGAGGCTAATCCTCGCGTGATTCCATCCCAGATTGGAATCGAGAAAATCCATTATGTCAGTTTTTATCGATCTCACATTACCGCACACTGCTGTGTCGCGTGTCTCAGCTTCAATTTCAAAAAATTAAAGATTTCTTTCTACAATTCTTTTAAACATGATAGTCTAGAGAGATACTAGGATAGTAATTAATTTTTCAGTTAATAAGATCTCGCGGAAATGAGATTTTTTTCTCGCTGCTGGATCGAGAACGGAGAATAACAGAACTTTCTCGACCCGGCGAAAGTTTCCTTTGATTCTCCTCTCGATGCATTTTTCCTGAAACCATTGTTAAATTCAGTGTTCGCTGTCCGAATTGTTAAGCAAAGAAGAATATTTCTATCATCGGTATTTAAAATTATAGTATTATTAATAATGATATAAATTCGTATAAATCAAATTAGCACCGAAATTAATGAGAAATCTGAAGTATAATTTTTAGAGCAGAGTTAAAATATTGATCATAGATTCTCTAGCCTTTTTCATAAAGATTTTGAGAATAAGACGCGTGCGCAAAAGGAACACTCGCAACTTGAGGTAGCGCGCGAAGGTGGTCGCCCCCTGACCCGTCACGGGCCATGCACGGTTCGAGAGATCGATGCACCGCATTCCCCCACACACCTCCTCCTTCACCCTTCGCTCGTCGGATTCCCGCCGACCGAGAGGTTCAACAGGGGTTGCTGGCTTCGTCCGGGCATCCACGATGATAACTCGTGGCCCGATTTCGCTGTGATTCTAATGATTTTTCGCAAAAAGAAATTATCTCGAATCAGAAATTTTTCAGATCTATAAAAGGGTGTGAAAATGTTTTTATATTGAAGTACTTTTATAGTTATATTTCGAAACAACAAATGATATTTGAGATATATTACAATAAGCTAAATTTCAAAACGAATCTTAATTGTAGAATATCAAGCTACGAATTATCGTTACGCCATCTCATTCAGCTACCTTCTCTCGTTCGAAAGATCGAAGACGTAATTCGCCACCGAACTCAACCGATTGGAATGATCGAAGGTAGCGAGGCTTAACATTGGCAACGCTGACAGTTCATTGACTTGCATCAAACGCTCGCGCCGATTGACAGCCCGGGCGCGGAGGTGCAACGGTACATCGTTCTCTCGATGGGCTCCGCACGAAGTTGAGGTAGGCGAGGTCGCGCGTCTGACGTCACGGCAGAGTTACTCGGCGACGAGCATCGCCAACTTTTCGTACGCGTACGTGCATCGACGCGGCCGTCGACGCGACAACGACGACGACGACAACGTGACGAGCACAGAAACATACAGAAGCTTCGCGAAGGGTCCCCCACGCGTTGCGCGTTACGTAATCGTCTCGCGAGGTCATTGACCGATACACAACGGGAAGTACCTTCACACTAACCTACCCCTTTCCCAATTTTTATTCATTCCGACCTCTCGTCTTCTTCATCGTGTCTCCGTAGCGAACTAACGAACCAGATTCCGGAGTAAAGATAAAAATGATACACAAGTAGGCAAAGAATTTGTATATTCACACTTATTTGCGAGCGGGTGGATATTATATAGGAGTATCAACGCGAGGGTAGGAACCGAGAGGTGGAGGTAGGGCAGGTCGTTCGGAGAGGGTGGCTCCTCCGGTCGGTAAGTGGGGAGGAGGGAGGGAAGAAACCCGTTAGTAGAGCGCTCGCGAGCCTCTATGGTAGCGCTCGTAGTAGATACGACGAAGAGGACATCATCTAGGGTTCACTCCAGCGCGAGAGAGAGAAACTGGGAACTGGAGAAAGAGAGAAACCAAAGAGGGAGACGGCCGAGGAGCGCCAGTCCGCGCAAGGGGGACTCTCACTTTCACGCGGTGAACTGCGGGTGAACGTCCGGGAATTAGGTCACAGTGTCCCCCACCTCGGTACGCCAGAGGCAATGTGCCGAGGCTCTATGTTCTCTGTGCTAGAAAGAGCCAGTCCACAGCCAAGCTTCGTTACAAACGGTCGCTTCTTTCCCCTACGAAACCTCGCGTTGTACTTAAGGTACGCGCGTCCATCGTGGAGCCGAGTATCCGCGAAAAGACTCCACGCGGGTTTGGTGAACGCGAATTATACGTGAGGACAGTGACCGATGCGAGCTACCAAAGATATAATTCCCGTTTTCACGGAGAATACTCTCACCCAGGTAGCGTCCATTAGTTTCAAGCCGAAGGATACGTAGCGAGTGATAATCATTTGGTTAATCCGCGCGAACTAAACGGTGCGGTGATTTATCGTATTCGTTCGGTTCGTCAGACGCCGTGCGAATCTTAATCTCAGCCGGAGTGAATTAATGGGGTGCTTGTGCGAATGTGATCTGGCCGCCCCGCGTTCGGGGACCGATTGCTCATCGGGGTCTTCGTCGGACAGCGACGGTCAGATTGACGAGGGTTTTGTTGGTGATTCGCAGGGCTTCTTTCGTCGGAGCATCCAGCAAAAGATTCAATATCGTCCGTGCACCAAGAATCAACAGTGCAGCATCCTCCGAATCAACAGGAATCGCTGTCAGTATTGCCGTCTCAAAAAGTGCATCGCCGTCGGCATGAGTCGCGATGGTAAGTCTCTTCAATACTTTATGCATGAGAATAATTTTTTTCGCCTTAAATAAAATTGGTGAATCGATTATTGTTGAAAGATACGTCGCAAGCTATCTCGAGTAACTTTATCTGATATCTGAGGCCTTTAGCTTAATTATTGAAACAATTTTTGAAGTGTACTAAGTGTAGTAATAAAATCTCTTATATTTAAACGTCAAAAACGCTATCGCCAATCTTGCAAGCACATTCGCAAATTTACAATTAACGAGCTCTTTTGATCAAAATTTGTTGTCACACCAATTAGGTAAAGCGCCGCATAATCTTCCTTTCTTCTTTCGCCCGTTTAAGCTCTTCATAAAAGAGTTTCTAAAATTTAGTTTGCCGGGTCATTGACCGTTTGCGTAACGTCTTTCCCCGCGACACGATGGAGTGTCGCAACGGGCGAAAGTTGCCAATTCGCCATTTGAGAAAGCAACGGCGATTATCTTTCGATTGGCGTAATCAGAGCTTGCTTTCTTTTCGACGAATTGATAAAATTCCCGGTCGCCTTTTGTCGAATAATCGGTAACGCAGCTGCGCGGGATGCTGCACAGCATCTCCCGCCCGGATCATTGACCTAGGTCGTCGACATGTCGCGCGAGCGCCAATAAATATACATATCTGGTTCTTTCGACGAAATTAGAACGCGATCTTCTCCAAATAGATATAAAACTTTATATTTTTATCAATTTTTGCGGATTAATTCGCATCGATGCGATTTTTCAGTAGTTGTAGCTACGACGACTCAAGTGTAGTCAGAAGTTGTAATCAATTTATCTATCACAAACGACAACGCGCGGTGACATAAAAATCTTTCGTCTTGAAAATCGGTGCGAAAAAGTGCGCTTATCGATATCAACGCGATTCGCGGGGTCAATAGACGGCCGTTGCTCGTCTGGCGGGTGACTTGGTGTCCGTAGAAAGAGTACCGCTACTCGCCGCTACGTCCCCCGGTGACCCTCCCACCTTCTTCCACCCTCCTTTCCCAGCACCGCACCTCCCTGTCGCCGCGCTTCGTCGCCGTCCTTCTCATTCCCCACCTCGGAGAACGATCGTTGTCGCTCGCCTGGCTTCTTCGGTCGTGGAACGCAGCCATCCCCCACCGACGGCGATGGCGCGCCGTCGCGTGGCGCTACACTCCATGCGGAGACCTCGCGAACTTTGCTTCCTAACTACATTCTCCCTTCCTCAATACGTTCCTCTCCTCCGCGAATCTCCCCCACTTTCCTCGTCGTCTGAATTCACCTGGCTGGTAGGCGCATGCTCCCATCGCGGGCTACCGTCTGGCCAGAGCCGTACGTGACTAACTGGTCATAGAGCTTCACGCCTCGCTACGGATAACTTGTCCGCGTCATCGTCGTTATCATGACCGGGCGCGTTGTACCCACAATTACGTCGTAAACCTTTGTAAACGCAACCCGGCTTACACCCAGATGAAACAATTGCAGCAAGCTCAGGGCAGAATTGACAAACTCCAAACTGGCAGAACAAAAATGTTAAAACTGCACTTTTGAATACTGATCAAGTCACTTTGTCCAAGTTATTATATCAGATGCGAGTCCCGTTACATGCTCTCGTGAATAGACTAATCGTAAATCCAATTATATAAAACTATCTATCAAGATGAAAACAAACCAAATCAGTAGTTCGTTTTAGTTTATAAGAGCATGTCCTCAACGTTAAAGATCGATAGTCCGCAAATAGATAAAGCTGGCTATCGACAGCTGGTGACAGGGCAGGTAGCTAGCAAGGGGTTGTACAAGGTCGCCGAGGGTAAGTTACCCCCAACAAAGGAAGTTCGCATCTGCGCATAGACAAGTCCAACTATCTCTCTCGCTCCTCACGCCGGGTGCTACGGCTTGACGCGTCGTACATTTGCTCGGTATATAGTGTATATAGGTCGGCGGTACGCCTCGTGCGGCTGTCGCTGAAACCAAGTTCAAGGCCAAAGGCTCGGCAAAGGCCACATTCGCGCGTGATGGTGGGGGTCGTTGATGGTTGAATAAGTGGAGGGGCTGTTGAACGCAACCGCGGAACATCACTCAGTCGGCGGTGATGCTGTCTCGTGTTTGCACGCGTACCGCGGTCGCGCTCGTTATTCAAACCTCGAGCGGCAAACCTCTCCGTCGCAGCACGCGCTATCTCGCGTCGTGCGATCGTTTGGAGTGACCCGCGTCTCCGCGAGTCAGCCGAGAGGATCGTTCGTGGCTTGTCATTCAAGAACGCGCAACGTTAGAGAGTCGAGGAGCCCTCGCGTGCCGAGTGACAATCGCGGTGTCAGATGATAGTGATCTGGTGCCGATAGAGAGGTCAACCACGTGCGTGAAAGTGCGAGTAGAATCGAAAATTAATCCGTGATTTTTAACGTGGTGCACGTTTCCCTGAACCGTCATGGGAGACGAGTTGCCGATTCTGAAAGGGATCCTCAACGGAGTAGTCAACTATCACAATGCACGTAGGTGTCCTTTCGGTAACGATTCTGACATTCGGAACGGTGGCGATAGCGATCGAACGTTTAGCGCACTTTCTAATTGAAGATTCGCAACGCGCGAAGCAACAGCAGCGCTTGTGCGCGCGTGAGCGCGCGGGCACTTTCATCTCTCCCGCGAGAAAGTCGTGCGCTTTCCCCTCTGACTTTTTTTCACCTTTGGCGCGAAACCATATCTGGTGTGACGGTACTCACGCTTTGAATGGTCGTTGGTTTTACCGCGATCGAGAGTCGCGTTTCTTTCGACTCTCTCGCGCGCGCCCGGCCCGATGCGAACATCACGCGAGTACCGACATTCGTTCGCGCGAAGGTCAACCCCGCGATAGCGGTCGGATCCGTCGCATGATTCACCCATTGATCGCATTAACTATTTATCGTCGTCCTTCCTTTTGCGTGCGACGTACGAGCCTCATGACACACACACACACACACATACACACGTCTAACCCATTTTGCCCTGTTTCTGATTACAGCGGTACGATTCGGCCGCGTGCCCAAGCGTGAGAAAGCCAGGATTCTGGCTGCTATGCAGCAGAGCTCCCACAGCCGTTCTCAGGAAAAGGCGGTAGCGGCCGAGCTGGAGGACGAGCAGCGTCTGCTACAAACCGTTGTGCGAGCCCACATCGATACATGCGACTTCACCAGGGACAAAGTGGCCCCGATCCTCGCCAGAGCCCGCGAGACCCCCAACTACACCGCGTGTCCACCAACCTTGGTAAACAAGCTCGACCTTTCCTCTTGACATTGACGCGGGTTATGCAAGCCATCCGCGTTTGAGATTTGAACGGTCGGCATCTACGCTGACGTCAATAACTGCGCGGGCCTTGGGCCGTCTTGATCTTTCAAGCGTTCTACGCGGAAATCGCGCGAGAACCAGGCGACCTCGGCTGCCGCGAAGGAGGAAGCGAGACCCGACGAGAGCGCGTAAATGTTTCGCCTCGCATCGTCTCGTCCCGCGCCTCGTTTCGCCACGCGAGGACGCCTGGTATGCTCTTCCGAGTAATGATAGCGACTTGGGCGACCTTCGGCATGATTTAACGATTCATCGCCTCCTGACCTCGGAATTTGGTTCCTTTTGTTACAGGCATGCCCCTTGAATCCTAATCCGCAACCGTTGACCGGACAGCAAGAATTACTTCAAGACTTCTCCAAAAGGTTCTCGCCGGCCATACGCGGTGTCGTGGAGTTCGCGAAACGCATACCTGGGTTCAACCTACTGGCACAGGACGACCAGGTCACTCTATTGAAAGCCGGTGTTTTCGAGGTACTGCTCGTGCGATTGGCCTGCATGTTCGATGCTCAAACGAACAGTATGATTTGCTTAAACGGCCAAGTGCTCAAACGAGAGTCCATCCATAATAGCAGTAACGCGCGATTCCTAATGGACTCGATGTTCGATTTCGCCGAGAGAGTCAACGCCTTGCGATTGTCCGACGCTGAGTTGGGATTGTTCTGCTCGGTAGTGGTGATCGCCGCCGACAGACCTGGGCTACGCAATACCGAACTGGTTGAGCGTATGCACAATAAACTCCGAAACGCTCTGCAGACGGTACTAGCACAGAACCATCCCCAGCATCCCGACATTCTCCGCGAACTTTTAAAGAAAATACCCGACCTAAAAACTCTGAATACCCTCCACTCTGAAAAACTGCTGGCTTTCAAAATGACCGAACAGCAACAGCAGTTGCAGGCCCAGCAGCAGCATCAACAGCAGCAACAAACGCAACACATCACACCGCAACAACAGCCGCATTGGCCAATGGAAGAGGAGCCCCCGGCTTCTTGGGGTTCCGCTTCGGACGTAACTTTAGACGAAGCGGTGAAGAGCCCTCTGGGTAGCGTGTCGAGCACCGAGAGCACTTGTAGCGGCGAAGTTGCCTCTTTGACGGAATACCACCACGTAACCCCGGCCAGTGGTCATCATGCATCGAGTGCGCCCCTTCTGGCTGCTACCCTAGCTGGTGGACTGTGTCCACATAGACGCCGTGCGAACTCTGGCAGTACCAGTTCCGGCGATGACGAACTCCATCGTGCTACTATGTCGAAGACTCCACAGCCACCGCAATGTCGCAGTTTTCGCAAGTTGGATTCACCAAGCGACAGCGGAATCGAATCCGGCACCGAGAAACCCGACAAACCGGCCAGCAGCAGTGCCAGCAGCGCTCCCACTTCTGTGTGCTCGAGTCCACGCTCGGAGGACAAGGAAGTCGAGGACATGCCGGTGCTGAAGCGCGTACTTCAGGCACCTCCCCTGTACGATACCAACTCGCTGATGGACGAGGCTTACAAGCCCCACAAGAAGTTCCGCGCTTTGCGCCAGAAGGATAGCGCCGAAGCCGAGCCGGCCGTGGTCGTTCAGCACACGCAGTCTCAGTTACATCTGCATCTAACTTCGCCACCAGCGCGCAGTCCACCCACTCAAACGACGCAATCTCAGTGCCCGCAAACCGCGAGTTTGCTGAGCAGCACGCATTCCACCCTCGCGAGAAGCCTGATGGAGGGCCCGCGGATGACGGCGGAACAACTGAAGCGTACGGACATCATACACAACTATATAATGCGTGGCGAAGCCAGTCCTAGGTCGCCGACGGTATCGCCATCGCCCGCGGAGCAGTGCGCATCGACGACCACCGTGACCACACGCTCGACGCAAGGATCTCAGGGTCTCCTGCAATGCGCCACCACGAGTTATTCGAACAGATGGCCGGCCACCTCGGTGATTACAACGACGACAGGTGCGCGACAACAGCAGCAACAGCAACAGCAGCAGCAGCAGCAGCAACAGCAACAGTCTTCCTCAGACTATCTCGCTGTTGCCAACTCTCCGGCTTCGTCACCGCGTTACCTCTCCGCGGCGGCAACTAGTAGTACGAGCACGAGTCCGAGGCCGACCTCGAGTACAGCGGCTACGTTGGTGTTAGCGGGCTGTCCGAGCAACATGATGGAGCTGCAGGTCGATATCGCGGATAGTCAGCAACCATTGAACCTATCCAAGAAGTCGCCATCCCCATCACCGTCACCCAGACCGCTCGTTGGACCTTGCAAGGCTCTCTCTCTCGAGGCGTAGTGTTCTCGCGAGCTCGAGTGATTTCCCGTAACAAGCACTGACGTGCGCGCGAACGAGACCGGGATGTTTAACCCGTTAATCATCAACCGGCGAAAACTCGTCGTCGTGACGCGGTACAACCTTTCGCGGCCCTTAACTAGAAATGAAAGTGCCAGGACGCTCTGAGCGCGTAAAAAACCAAATAATTTATTAATTTAAACTACTTATCGCTAAAATCGCGCGAGAAAAGAGGTGGAGGTTACGGAGGAATGGACAGGGTACATCTCCGTGTATAATCACGAGGAAGACAGACATTCAGTGGCGAGTTGTTTTCTCCGAGTGCGCGAAATGACGATGGACGGACACTTGCACGAAAGTGCCGATTCAATGAAAGCAACAGAGTGTCGTGTAGGAGAGCCACCTATCCACCTAAAACTACCTATCTACCTGTCTACCTACCTAAAAACCTATCTGCTCTAGGTGTACATCTAGAAGATAGAGCATCTGCGACGGAAAAAAAAGAAAGGTTGAGTGTTACAGAAATTAATAATCTATCTACATGTGATAATCATGGAAATCGCGCATCCTGTACAGTCTCCACCTCATTCATTGATCATCTACTCTACTATAATTATTAAATATTATGAAACTAATTAATATTATTGTAATATGTGTAAGGTATCATAACCGTAAAAAATTATCATTTCGTGTACGTGTAGAAAAAAGACGCGTATGATACTCTTGTGCGTTGATGAGAGGCAGGCATAGAATGAATGGGGAAAAAAAAAGAGAGAATGAATGACGGATGAGCGTGCTTGTGCAAATGAGTCGGGGCAAATCGAAAAGCTTCTTGATCGCGGTGGCAACCGAGAAGATCGCGTACGCGATTTTAAAGAATTAAGCGTTTTGTTATGAGACTGATCGGCCCGCCGCGGCCACCAGTTTGCAATTACCGTACCTTTATATTACATGTCGTGTCTCTTCGTCGGGAAGACGACGCGAGAAGTAATTATATCCTCTAATCGCGTCGTATAGCGAGATAGGTATCGTAGGCCCGCTTAAACGCGTTATACAATATTATGTGTCGTGTGTGCATGCATGAAAGTCAGATTAGATAGATCGAGACGGGATTGCGAAAGAGAGAGCGAGAAAAAGAAAGAGAGTGGAGAGGAGATAGAGAAAGATAGAAAGGGAAAGAAGAAGAAAGAGAGAAGCCGCGAAGCGCTCGAGCGAAGCGGAGTTCCGATTAGAACGGCGAAACGCAATGTAAATAGTAGATTCGTAAGGCTATGTCCTGGTAGGCGCGAGTGAACCTCTTCTGCTTCTGAAAAAAAATCGTGATGAAAAGTTAGAAAATACGCGGCGGGCCACCGCCGACGTGTTGTTGAGACGCCCGCCCCGCCCCCTCCCTTTTAACCACCCTGCATATCCCAGTTCCAACATGAACATCGCATCGAATATGCATTACATTCACAATACGCTGAGTTGCGAGCGAGATAAAACCGATCTTGAAAACAGTTGTAGAAACACTTATGCCTCCTTTTGAGACGGACTAGATCCTCCTCTTGGTTCGACCTACAAGTCCGCCTTGAGTTTCGTATTGGCTCGGTCCTCAGATTAACGATTTAAATAGAGTCGCAATGAAGTTCGGTCAGATTAAAGGGAAGCTAGTACTCGTCAAGAATGGGGCATTAAAAGCACATTCAATCTTCCGGCTAGAATATAGCCTAGCCAGAGTGTCCCCTAAACACCCACTCCCTTTCCCCCCAGCTTAGAGGCCTCTGTATTTATTGTACCTAAAGAGAGAATGCATTTTCCTTCGCCGTGTCGCGTGTACCACATCCACCCGTTTGTCCAAGCGAATCCTCGTAGAATCCTTCTGACTGTCCTTACAAGAACACGCATATACACACAAGATGGACACATTTACACACGACAGCGACATATGTGCACATTGAGCGAACACTTATTCTTGTCCTCCCCCTTCCCCCCGCAGACAACCTAGCGTTGATATTCGTAATACTTGTTATGCATAAACTACACATAATTATTATAATAAACGATACATAAAGTATGATATATTTCCCTATCCTATAAGAAGAAGAATACAAACACAGCTGTTGTTTCTGGTGGAAAAACGAAAAATATGAATAAAATGTACTCTATACAAGCAAGAAATGCAGCCCCGCATATTGCCCAGTGAGCACGTCATTTTGTACGCTTGGGAGTTGTGAGGTCGTCTGAATAAACATTGTCTGGTGAATTATACATAAAATAAAGATTGTCTTCTTATTTACCTCTAATCCACAGCCTTCCGATTTTTCCAAAAAATCTGAGATTTTATCCTGTCTTCCAAAAATATACAAACCCTTACCCGACGACACATTCAATTTTATTTTTTTTTATTTTATTCATATAAGCATGGAGTAAAATTCAAATTTAATATAATCAATATTAATATTATAATTATGCATAAAAATAAAAACGACTCTGAACAATTGCTCTTATATTATTACTGTAATCATTAGATGTGTATGTAATCATTCAATTATATCAATAATCAAATATCTTGAATGTCAAATATTTCAGAAAATATCTTTACAAAAAAAAGCAATTTATAATACTTGGTTAAAATACTAATTTGACTTGCGCGCTTCCGTGATCATGCGATATATTCATTTGAGCAGGACATCCTGGCGTTTAATCTTTTTTTTTACGCTACCTTGAACTTTTACATAGCCTTGGTAAGTATAATATTTAGATACGAATACGATTGGAATATGCGGATACGTTATCGAAGATACCGACTCGATTGCAGCTAAAGACTTGAATCAAAATGTTTTTTTATTGATTATTATATTCTCGATTGCTCAAATAATCGATTAGATCGAAAAAAAATGGTTATTTATTCCTATCCTTTATTGGCTTATCTAATTACTTGTTTTACCGGCCAGAAGATAATAATAAAAGAAAAATGTAGTGCATATGTTCGGAGTACAAAAATTCGATCAGGCATAAATTTAATATCGTAACAGATATGCAGAAAGTTAATTGTGACAGGAACGCGAGCAATGGTAGTCTCTAATTGTGTAATTGTATTTTCCCGAGCTTTTTCCGCGTGGAGCCCGATACACGATCTCTCTCTCGTTGATCCACCGAATCCGCCTACGACGAGGTGCGGCATAACAGAAACTGTAACCACCCCGCTCGCGTAAATACCTACATTGGAGGCGCGTGGCGCCCCGTGGGCGTCGGTTGCCACGCAACCTAGTTCTCGCTAACGTGAACTGTCCTATCGTGAACTCTGCACTTCGCCTCCACCAACATCATCATCATGTCGATGCGCGCTTCATCATAATTGCTATGTCACGCGAGGGCGTTGTATTTTCGAATAAAGAGGGCAAGAAAATAGAGCTATTACCTAAAAATACCGACGAGATTGGGAAACTAATTAGCCTTCTGATTTAGCTACCACGTTTGGATCTGTCTGATGTGTGTTACGGCACGATCAGCTTCGACTCCAATAATATGCGATGAACTACTTTGTATCATATCTATGCCTCAGATTTAAAAAATGGGTGCTTATCTGTTATTATTTATATATTTGAGATCGTGCATAAATCGCGATGCGAGTTTTGTCCACCGTGCATTCGTTACATCGATGTATCGCAAAGCTGCAACGAGCTGTTAATCCGCGTTAATTTTCAGACGTCGGGGAGCTCTTTCGAGCTACACTTCTACCTCCATTCGTCGGTCAGCGTATTGTCGGGCTACGGATTAAGCAGGCAAAAAGAAAACGAAGAGGAAGCTGTCGGGCAGAGATCGACAACGAGTCGTCGACCAACAATAAACCACTGACCAGAACTTACCGTCGAGAGCAATGCGATTAACTCGAAGGTCGCTCGTTAACCTGCTAGCGCTTGCGTTATGAATATACAACCGCATACAGTAATTATACAAAATATTGACTCGTGAATAACATTATTTGCTTTTATTTTCAGTTATCTCGAAAACATAAAATATTCCAACAATACTGAACTCATTTCTGTTTTAACTCTCTACTAACGTTAAAAGATGTATAAAAATCAGGTTTCAAGTACTATATAGTATTGTCTTGTTGTCTCCGTTCCTGTGTTGACATAGGGGAGAGTACTATCACAAGAGGAGATGCCGATTTCGTCGGATATGTCTGCGGTCTCGGTCGAAACCTTGAACGCGCTCCTTAGCAGAGACGCAGAGTGCGAAGGCTTTTATGCGTGGCAGGGGGACGCGGGGGACGGAAGTTCGGGGGACGCGGGGGCTGGATACGCGGCTCGTAATGTGAGGGCGTCCTGGAGGCTGAAACCCAGTCTGGGAATGTACTCTGCTTGCCCAGGGACAGCGCGCATTCTCTCCAACACCAGTAGAAGGTAGCCTCGAGCCGCACACGCCGTTGGTAGGATTCCATCGCGAAGACAATGCCCGCCATCGTGGCTCTCCGATAATTGGATTCTAAGTATAAAGTCGGCCCACAAACGTAAATCGCGAACGCAATCGGGATGATTCCCAGCGGATTTACTCTCGCGATCGTAACTCCTGTTGTATACGTTGTGCAATAATTAAACTACGAAAAATTTTGCGGACAAAATTAAAATGTCAAATTTAATTATGCATTCGTGCCACTTTTGGACTTTCCAAAGAATAATTTGCAATCATAATATGACTCTAATTTTAGAACCTATTTATAAAACAAGATAAATGTGTATGACTTGTTTTAAATTTTTACAAATTTATGATTCCGTCTCTTTGAACAACAATAAGCGTGTTTATAAGAATATAATTTCATCCGCAATACATTAGATCGAAGTGCGATCCTTCCATATTGCTGTGTGTGTAGAATGATAACACCGATGCTTTCTTTTATTACTCTCGAAATGTTCTTCCGGGTTAACGCACTTTCGTCCTTCGATGATTTATCCCGTCAACCTCCGCCCTTCGACGCCCTCCTCATCGCTCCATCCACGCTCCAGTTTTCCACGTAGCAGAAGGTCGCGACCCTCGCGAAAAAACGCACCACGCTTACGCACGAAGTAAGCTCGTTCTGGCACGGGGTTTTTTCACCCCTCACCGACCCGAAAATTTACGAGCGATATGGCCTTCGACCGTCTTTAAGAGGCACGTGCGTTGCCTCATAGAACCCTCCGCGCGAGTCTCTCCCCCGTCGATTCACCAGGGTCCTTTCAATAAATCCCTTAAGGGTCGAATTTACGTAACATAGGTCTCATCGCAAGATTTTAGACGTGCCAAAGTCACTTTGATTAAATTTACTTTCGTTAAATTAATTGTGTATGTGTGAGCGTCGTGTGTGTGCATGTATGTGCGTGCGTGCACGTACGCACATAGCTTGTAGAATTTAGAACATCTCCTTTATAAACAACGCGTCTTAAGTATTTAATAATATAGAAAATAATATAGAAAATAATATTGAAAATAACTGGAAAATAAATAACTAATAAACTCTTTTAAAATCTAATAATCGTAAGTCGTAGTAATAACGGCAATTTAAAATTTAAACAATCATACAAAACGTTTTAGTTTTCTCGTGCGATAAATTTCTTCTAGTTGCATTAATATGTTTCTGTTCAAATTTTACAAATTTTGGTATGAAAAATAAAGAACGTCACCTTATCTCACATTATTCTCAGAATAGAAATATAATATACGATAAAAAAAAAGTTTAAAACTTCATATAGAAAGCAATGAGTTACACCTTGACCTACCATCCTTGGCCATCATACAAGGCGTGGATTAATATTTGTGCCCGACGACGGTGCGCATAAAGAGTTGACCAGTTCGAGGGGGAGCCAAAGCCTTGAACCAACAATGAGCAAACACTCATTATCAGTCACGAGCAATGTCAAACGACAAGTGAGTCTCTCTCCTCTCACTTTTCGCTGTCTCTCGGGTGGATCGCGAAATTTGTTATGCTTTTGCAATACGGAAGGTATTGGTAAAAACATTATCGCTCTATACTGAGATACGTAAGTACATTTTTAACACCTGACATTTATTATTTGTGATAAATAAATGTTATAAATAATCAGATCATCGCGTTAAAACATTAACTGCCAAGATATTCGGTATTTAAAAAGGAAATATTACGACAAATGGTTCTATCTCAATTAATGTGTTATGGAAGCTGTTTTAGCAAAGAATTAACAAAGCATATTAAAATTGTTAATGTATTCATACAAGTTCTTAAGAAATAATTCAAATTTGAATAATAAGACAGAAGACTAGCTTGACAACAATAATTATGCACAAGGACAGTGATACAGAAGAAATGACTGCGAGAATACACTAACCCATGTCTTATCTAGGCCGATCAGATAGAATGTTGAGGTTAATGGAAATAAGATATCGAAACCAGGGTTACGAAAAAAATATGGTAAGTATGTCGAGCAGCACAGATTCAATTGTGGATGGAAAAAAGAATCATTTCGTTAGCGTCAAAGCAAAAGAGTCAAAGAAAATTTCACTTTCCTTAAGTACATAAGATACATACTACTATTTATTATATCTTTCAGCAATCTTCAACTCGGCATAAAAACGGCCGAAATATAATTCATAACGTCGAAACACGTTCGCGAGAGATTTATCTTGCTCACCTACATGATCCCAAAGATTCGGCGATGATGAATGATTTAGGTTCGCGTTATTCACGGACTTGCAGAATTTATTATTCACGATCGAGCCGTGGAGGAAAGAAGCCGTGGAAGAAGTCTCGAACTTGACTCTTATTTTGAGGAATAGATGTAAACAAATGTTATTAAGGGAAAAACGCGGAAGTGGCACTCTGAGTACTCCCACCGCATCGATATATCAAATGAGATATATGTACAAAACTAAAGCCATCATTCCTGAGGATCGGAATATAACTTGCTGCGTTTCCAAAGATGACTTAATATATGATTATCGATTAATATGGATCAGAAAAGATGATGAAAAAGCAAGGAATGAGGGAAAGATTTGAAAATATATATAAATAAAATAGCGTTATGTCAAATCTGTTTAAGTTGTTATGCATGACATTTCATATCGCGATGTGCCTCGCGTGCGAGAGTCTCAGTTATACTTTCGAATATAAGCTCTTGAAACGACAATTTAATTGCAATATATGCTGTGCAGGCGCGCATTTAATGAATGCAACGAATGCGTTTTCACTTTTCCAGTGCTTTCACTCTCGCAAGTGAGCCACTTTTTCCAAACACGCGTATCTCGTGATGCCATGGAGCTACTT